GCTGAACCTGGTGGACAGACGCCCCGGATTTCATGTATGGATTACTCAAAACCTTCAAAAAAAAGACAAAACAGGAAGAGAATTTTGATGAATAACGAATCAACGGCAAGTAATATTGTAATGTGTTCTTCTGTCGAGGAATTGGGGCTTACTGCGACTTGTCCATGGAGGAACTTGATGTACTCTACGGCCTCGTTTAGCACAGAAGCGGTGTCATTCTGCAGTTAATTAGATGAGGTTAAACAAAAGAAAATGCTTTCACTGTGAGTAGATGTAAAAATCTCTAAGATGATTTTTTATTCTCTGGGTATAGATCTGAAATTTTTTACCTTCCCAAAGGGTGAAACCAACTGCTGAAGGGCGGTGATTCGGTCCCCGAGCTTCTCATTACGGACCTGAGTTTCAGAGATAGTTTCATGTGATCTTTCCATATAAAAATCAGAAAACCTACCGAAAGAAGTGGGGTTAATTTGGTGAAAATCTCTGCACTGACTCTAAAGCTCGGCAGTGGCGAAGGTGTATCGATTCTTGGCCTCTTCAGTCGTGAAAATCCGTCGTCATAGCCTTCAAAGTCTTCGATATTTTCGCCAGTTCTCTGAAACCCACACCCGAAAACATCAACTTAAAGGTATTCTTCCAAGATGAAGATTCAACTAAGAGTGTTTTCTCATGTATTGATACCTTTGAGGTAATTGTCTTGCAGTCTTGATGATCCTCCTCGGACTTGGCCCTGATATCGACATCGTGAAAGACAGATACGGCTCCTGAATCGTCGAAAAGAACGTTATCGAAGAAAGCAACACCGTCCAATAACTCGGGCTTTTCATCAGTCACCCGAGAGTCCAAGATTGGATCAATTCTCGGCCAAGAACTCAGTTGTTGTTCATCATGAGGCTCAAACAATCCATCAAAGAAGCTATTTTGGTTGAATTTCGCTTCGACACTTCCTTCACTGTGGCTGAAAAGATCAAGAAAAGGAATCAGATAAGCCCGCAGTTAGTATACCGATCACTCATACATGAACGATATCGTTTCTTCGAAGTTGTATGATCATTTGAATTCAATTCATGTATTTAAACGATATCATTTAAAGATGGAAATATATATGAACTTACATGATAGATTGGTACCAATCCGGTGGAGAAGCTGCATGGGAAGGTAACCCTAAAACCGAATCAAGATCTCTGTCGTATTTCACGTCAAGAAGGTCCAAGTTTTGCCATGCAAAGCTCCCGACATCGATGCCGATCTCAGAGGCTCGTGGAAGCGAACAGCCGGAGAACATGTCTTCGGAGGAACTCCACCAAGCTCTTGTGTTGTGTTTTAGTGGTTTCTCGTTTGAAGTTTGCATGGGCGAAGGGTTTATATATATATGTATATTATGATTTAGCTAAGAAATATAAATTTTGTAACACTTGGTCGATTAAATTATAGGATACGTGAAAAGGCGAATACTTTATTTTGTTTATGTAACAGAACAGAACAAAGGTCACGTAGAGCTAATGGCAAATATTTTAGTAGTTAAGATATAATAGCTACTGTTTTGGAGGATACCTAATAACCTACCCAAGAAATAAGAACCATATAATATAAATTTATCTTTTAATGGTTAGGTTATATCAATACATTGTTATATGACTTTTATGTCGCGTTTTTTTTGTGGATAAGGGTATTATCCTTACAAATTCTTCAAAGGACATATTTGTTGATTTTCCGCTTTTTTTTTAAATATTTTGGTTGACTAAAGTATATATATGAAGTGTCAAACAATGAAAGATATGTTCTGATAAATAATTCCAAAAAACAAATAAAAAATTCAATTATGTTCAAAAATTTTGAAATTTATTTTTTTTATTATTATTTGAAGATATTTTTGGAAAATAAATTTTTGCAGTAGCCATATATCAAATAGAGAATGACTTTAGGATAGTAATTTGTCATTCGTGAACAATTTTTTTTTGTATAATATATATCTTATATATGATATTAAAATGAAAGTCAATATTACCAAATCCACAGCAATAGGTTTCTTGCCCTTATGGCCTTATACACGTACATGTACAATATATCAGCGTATCTGATTATTAGGAATAGGCCCCGGAATTGGTCACGTAAGTCCACGAACTCGCACCACGTGTATATTTTTTATTTTATTTTGTCAAATGTAATTATTAATATTCTGGAAAAAGAATAATTAATATATACATAAATCAAATACGTCGGATGACCATTTGTATTTGGGTAATTAATCAATATATGATTAAACCCGATTATATGAATATAAATATAGGATGTGTGGATTAAGTCAGACTGCCCTCTGGTTTTTTAGGGTTTGTCATGTTTTGCTTTAGAAAGGTTCTCAATGTTTTTTTAATCATATTTAAACCTATGCTAATGTCATATGGTTTGACTCCTAACCCATAACCAAACAAGTTTGTATCTGCTGAATAATTCGGTTACTTACGTCCTCTAATCATATAATTAAGGAACGGATCAGTATTTTTTAATCATTAGTTATCTTGGTTCTGATTATATTATATTTTTGCATTTGCTTTGGCAATATTGTTCACTCCCATGCATTACGTTTTGACTATATAATAATAATAATAATAATAATAATAATAATAATAATAATAATAATAATAATAATAATAATAAGTTGTTGGTTTGACTTGTCAAGACGGGGTCCAAAGGAATGGTCGTCATTCCTAAATTTATGAACTTTATGGATAAAATGATGACACGAAGGGCCGAGCTTAATAGATAGGCCCAAACAAAGCAACCTCAATGGGCCTGAGCCCACTTCAACAATAATACACTAATATATTTTGGTGGAAAAAAGAATAATGAAAAGTGCCAAGAAAAATGTACTAAACCCATGCTTAAAAATCTTATGATATATTAAATTAAAATTCTAAGATCGTATTATTACACCACGAGAGGGGGAAAGTAAAAAAAAATCATATGAATGGTGAAGTTTCCAACACACATTATGTATATAACGGATATCAATTATTACACAACTAAAGATATCTTATAATCTGTGTCCTGACGGATAACGGAATCGTGACATTGTGAATCCCATCAGTCCAAGTCAAGCTTCCAAAGTAGAATCCGGTATTCGCTTTGTGCGTGGTCGACACTTTCACAGAGAAACCGAGTTTCTTCGTGTTGAGGTTGAAGGCCAACGCTTCTGGCCTCACCTCCACGTTTATACCGAATGGAGCATCGATCAATGGCTTGTAGACAGAGTCGACGGGCCCGACATTGGTTACGGTTCTTGTCACAGTGACATCTTCCCTGAGATCTGGAATGGTGATCGAAGGCAAGTTGAGATCAAGAATCGACGGCAATGGACTGGGGCACTTTGCATCTTTTCCGACGATTGCAGAGAGAGATGAATCGCTGTAACCTGCATAACAGAGGTACTGTGCGTAGTCGTCGATGCCCATGTCGTATACAAGTCCGGGTTCCACTGCTTTCTCCGGATTCACGAGCCCTCCTCCATAATCGAACGGATCAGCGAGTTCTGTAGATGATCCATCCGCAAAGATTGGTTCTCCATATGGGTCTGTCTTTTTGGCTTTTCAGGACAAGAAATGAGTTGTGATGGTGAGTCAGACAGCTTTGTGTTTCTGGAGAAGTGAAAAAAGAGTGGCAAGAACAAGAACCTGTAGTAACGATGGCCGATCTGATCGCAGCAGGTGACCAATCAGGATGCGAGACTTTGAGAAGTGCCACAATTCCTGCAACAACTGGAGTCGCCATTGACGTTCCGGAGAAGACAAATCCACTGGAACTGTTGTCACTGTTCGGTCGCGCTGATAGTAGACTCAAACCCGGGGCCGCGATATCAGGCTGTATCCAAATTCAGTGTTCAGAACTCATTTCAACGAATCGAAATGATGAACACAAAATGGAGAAAGATTAAAACACTCTTACCTTGAGAATTTCCGGGGAAAATGAATTAGGCCCTCTCGATGAGGATTTCCCGACCTTGGTTTGTACCGGTTGACCAGTGAGCGTCTTGGTCGGAGTGATCTTGATCTTCGGAGAGCTGCAAAGTTCAAACACAAAGCCAGATTCTCATTGACGTCGGAAGATGAAACACAAACATCCAAAGCTGATGACTGCCAGAAGTTCATAAGACATACCTGGTGGTACTGATGTACAACAATATCTCATTTCCGACATCAAATCCCACGTAAATGCACGGGAAACTTTCCGGGCATTCATAGATCTTATCATTCGGCCTTCTCGCGAAAATTACACCTAGACCATTGCCTTCACGTGTCAAAGTTGGATAATCTGCTTCGGCCTCGATCTCAGGGAACATCAGCACAACTTGCCCTTCTACCAGGAAACGATCATCTTGCGCAATACCGATTAGGAGAGCCAAAGAACTGAAGCCAATTTCTGGCCCCGTGTATAGACCTTCACCCTGAAATCACAAACAAAGCTTGGTCAGTCCGTGCACTCGAATCGAACAAATGAGTGTGAGATTGTTAGTCATATGGTACCGGAAAGGTCATGTTGTTTCCGAGTGTCAAGGACACAGAGAAGGACCGATCAATGGTAGTCGCTGCCACGGTTAATATCCATGGAGATACATTACCAACCATCCAACGATTCGGACCGGAATTCCCGGCCGGAGAGACAACAGGAATACCTTTCTTCACAGCATGAAACCCTGCAAGGGCAAACTCAAGTTCTGTATCCATAGGCAGAAATCCCGACCCAATAGAAACCGACAAAACATCAACCCCATCTCCAATAGCATCATCAAACGCCTTCCAGACATCAGCCACCGTACATTGTCCTTGTCCTTCCCCATTCGTGTTCCAACACGCCTTGTAAGTGGCTATACGCGCACAAGGAGCTCCACCTCTCGCTGTTCCTCCCGAGACACCGGGATAGCTTACGTTTGGAACGAAAGAACCAGCAGCGATCGAGGAGACTTGTGTCCCGTGGCCGTTACCATCTCTACCGGACGTAAAATCCAGACTTTGGTTATATTGTCCCCCGAGCTTTGCTATGAGGCCGTCCATGTAGTACCTGGCTCCTATAAGCTTCTTGTTGCAATGAACCGCAGGATCAAATCCTTCACCCCCTACACATTCTCCTCTCCAATGCTTCGGTATCGGTCCAAAATCTTTATCATGAAAGGCCTCTGATTCAGGCCATACACCTGCGATTATATATAACCGAGATGTTCAACAGTTTGTTTGTAGAGATAAGAGACAGAGTATATGGATATATACCAGAGTCGATGATGCCGATGATAGCTTCACTGCCCATGTTAGTGTTACGTAGAAGGCCTTGAGAAGAACTCGGCAAAAGGCCAAGGTAATCCCAAGTTCTAGTTGTTTGCATCTGGAGAAACCGGTTTTTCATAACGAAGACAACTCCAGGAAGGTCTAGCGGAAATCGGTACATTGCTTTGTCAGAAGGCTTCACCCTTTTGAGTTTTTCATTCTAAAACTAGAAACACAAATGTATCTGCGTGTAAAAAGAAGTTAGGAAGAAAAAGTACCATTGATCTTCTCTGCCATGGGCGGTGAAAGCTTGGCTGCAAAGCCAGAAAAGCCATTGCTGTAACTATAGATCAATGCCTTTTTGGCTTCTTCTTCACTGTAACATGAAATTCGCCGAATAAATCTTTGAAATCCGTTCATTTTCTATGTTAACATATATAGAAACCTTCGGAATAACAACGCTATATACCTTCCAAGAACAGAGGTGAGCATCTGAAGATGTGATTGAGTGACCAATTTAGGATCAGGCTGTTTCCTCTCACCAAGATAAGCTATGAACACCTACTTATCAAACAGCATCTTTGTTAGCCTGTAACATAAACAAATACCTGATAGAGAGCATTCAAGATTAACATACCGGAATCTCGGGAATTTCAGGGTCTTTAACCTCACCGAATTGCTCAGCACCTACAGCTTCCTCAAAACCAACGGATGGCTCGGGAGGGAGGGGCTCCTGCCCGAAACCAACTGATGGCTGAGGAGGGAGGGATTCCTGCCCGAAGCCAGAAAATGCCTCGGGAGGGAGGGCTTCCCCCATCGAGGCAAAGCTTAACTCCACATTGAAGATTAAAACCAGAAAGATCGCCATTAAAACGCAAGCTTTGGAGCATCTCTTCTCGATCCAAAAAGAGTAATCCATTTTCAGGCTTAGGGCAGGCATTGAAGCACTAGAACTATGATGTTAAGGGTCTTTTATCTGAAACTATATTCCTTGATTCAATCACAAAACGAGAGTTTTCACGATTCTGTCCCATGTCTATATTCAGATGGTTTCTAACGTTCAAACTGTTAACAAAACTAGTTTCTAAAAAACATATGCTAGGCTTCCAAACACATAAGACATGAGATGCTCAGAGAACTGTTTTAACTACTAACAGAAATGAAACATCATTATTGTTCATATGGTTATTTATAGGGGTTGGTTGTCATCAGAGGCAACGGAATCTTATTACAACATAATCTATTTATGTACAATGGAAATTGTGTATGGATAAGAAACAATCACGCCATTCAACCATCAATTAGAAGAAACATATCATAATGGTAAAACATGAATATAGATATGTAAACAAGTAGAATGTGGCATGATAAAAAAAATGGTCAAAAAGATTCCCCACAAACTAGTAACCCACGTTATGAATATGAAGAACAGATGCAAAACAACGTGAAAATTTGGCCTTCAGGGCATTACTTTGTTTAGTACTTTACATTGCATGTTCAAACGTTCATTCTTTTACAGCATTGCTGAAGTACAATCACATGACACAAGGCACACAAACACATAACACAGGAGGAAGCAAAAAGCTTCAAACAAGTAGCGAGATATCGATAGTTCAGAACAAGAAATACGAGGAGCCAAGAACTGATTTGTGATCTTTACCCAGATGACGACCTCGGAGGCACTCCAGATCCATAATTTGAGAATGATCCACGAAGAGATTCACCTGAATTGTCGAAAACAAGAGACAATAATCTCGTGAGAGAATGAAAAGAGGGCAAGAGGAAAAATGTCAAAGTGCAAAAGAGCGAGAGCAAGTACATTTGGTCCGTAACGTTTGATGAACCACTCAGCCATTTTTTCATCTGAAGCTTCGAACATTGTCTTCTCTATCCCAAGACTTCCTATGACTTTCGCGATTATATCAGCTCGGAGCGAATCAGCATATTTGCAGACATCATCAGCATCGATCATGATCATATCTGCCCCGGCTTCTAAACATCTTTCAGCCTTTCGTATCAAGAGGTCTATGTCCTCAACAAACTCTGTGAAAACAATGTATTCACATCATAAACATATTATTTACTGTATATATATTCATTGCTCATCTCGGGAATTACTCGTTCTTACCGCTTGATCTAGGTGCTGGAACAACATAAGACCCGAATGCCCTGGCCCGACCAGGAATATCAGACTTGTTGAATTTCACAGCAAAAATCGGTTTTGCTCTGAGACCGCCACTCTTTATCAGACGTACATACCGTAGGAATGTTTCCTCTGGGATTTCAAGCGAACCAGCATTCAGCTCAATCGTGTCAAATCCCAACTGCTTACACTCCTGCAAAACCAAACATAGCTCGACATTGAAAGGCAAATGTCTTTTTATGACATAAAACGTAGATAAATGTCTTGGCCAAACAAATCACCTCAACATACTCCTTGAACGCTGAAGGGCCACTTCGAAGCATATGCTCGGCCCAATCGCCCGTGCTTACATACACATCGTGTTCATGAGCCATTTCAATAGCACGTTTGATGAACGATTTCGGCATCAAACTGTTAGATCCCCCAGAAAACTTTAACCCATCAACAAATTGCCCCATCGAATCGAAAATGTCCTACAAACACGATTAGGTATAAATCTTATCAGGATTCAGCCCAAGCAACATATGTTCCAATTTCAGCATTTCTCATACCTTCAGGCAAAATACAACTCTTCACCTATCAAATTGATAGTATCAATTTATCTGACACTCAGAGAACTATCTAACGAGAATCGTCTCCAAGAACAGTTCTAAAGTAAACTCATTGGCCTCGTCATTATTCTACAACCTAAATTCAGCAATAACCATGATCAAATTACACCTGAACGTAGATAGTTTGCCGAATTGGGTATAACTTTCTTAAGCAAGAATCGAAGGCCATGATTTCCCTGGCAACTTAAGTATTACGTACCCAGAGACGACAGGGACTAGGAAATGGCAATTGAACTAGTTCTATAACGGAAGAACAAACGGAGTGATCAAGGGTAGGTACCTGAAGTACGTTTTGGCTCAGAACAGAGTAACGGGGACCTCGCATCTCCGTTACGCCGTAACGGCGAGGCTTCTCCGGTCGATCCTCATTCGCTTCGAAGCTCTTCCATCCGTACGCCGACATTTTCCCCCCTCTTGCTTACTCTTGTTTTCCCGGGAATATGCAACTAGAGATTTTGAATCTCCAAATATCGAGAAGTTGTCGGATAGTTTTTTTGGTATGGGGGGCTTCAAATTTCAATGGTGGAGGCAGGGAGGACATGGTCGAAGGCTGGAGCTGCTTCTAGAACTCTGCGCCACGTCATCACCATCGCTCTCATTGATATTTATGCTACCGGATGTATTATTATATATAGGAAAAATAACATTTTCCTACGCCAACTTTGTAAAATATGACCTTTTCCTACACGAATTTTTAATTTGACAAAAAACTATATCAAATTATCAAATGTGCCAAATTGATACACGAACTACCCAATTTAACTGCAATTTCCTACACAATCCGAAAACGGTGTTAAGTGTACGTTAACCGCTGACGTGGCACGCCACGTGGTGACTGACGTGACACGCCATATAGATTTTTTTGCCACATCAGCATGTCACGTCATATTTTTTAAAAAATTTCGAAAAATATGAAAAAAAAATCGATTTTTTTTTTAAATTTAAAATAAAATAAATAAATAGCAATATATATATATATATTCATATATATTCATATCTATATACAAATAAAAATATAAATATATATACTCCTATATAAAAATATATAACTATATATATACAAAATAAAAAACATACACATATATATACAAACATCTATACAAATATATATA